TTAAGTTATTTTGATGTGTTTGGTTCAGCTTAACAATACAACTTATAACTTTTTGTAAGTAAAAAATTAACTTATTCTTTGAGTGAGGGAGGAGAAACTTAATTTATAAGTCAAAAATCAACTTATGTTCACAGCTATAAGCTGTTAGGCTATAAGTTATAATCACTTTCCCACAGCTCTACCAAACGGGACCACAATTGTATATTGATTTGGTAATAAGTTTTTTTTGATTAGATATAGTAAATTATGCAATAGTGATCTTCTATTAGTAATCTCAAAAAACTCAAAAAAAAAAAAAAAAAAAAACCTTTAAACAAGGCATGTTAAAGGGTTGTTTGGAATGTTTTAAATAAGTGTACTTTTTGACTTTTTATGAAATATGGGTTGGGTTTGAAATAATGTGATAAAAAGATGATGTGATTTAAATAAAATGATGTGACTTAAATAGGATAGTGACTTTTTGACTTTTTTAGGAGATGTCAAACCTAACTTAATTATTATAGTTAGTGTTATCATATTTTAGTTATTCTAATAGACTAGTTATTATAATAACTATTTTAACAAAATTCTTTAAGACTACTTACATTTGAAAAAGTCTTGAGCGGCTTTTTAAATAATTTGTGGATATAAATAGATAAAATAAAAAGTAGCGATGAATTATATAAATAAATAAATAGGCAAAATATATATAAAAAAAAGAAAAGAAATGCTTTTTATATTTTATCCAGTAAAAAATGAAAACTATACTCAGAGTTGCACAAATGGGAGAAAATTAGATGGTCATCCTTATTTTTTAGGACAATTACACACACAAAAATAAATAAATTAAGGGAAAATCGGTCTAAGGTCTCTATCCAACTTTTAGTAATAGATTAAGTCCACAATCTATTCTTTTGTAGTCTAAGGTCCTCCCTCACCCATACCCATATATAACACTCACTCTCTCATTCTCTCTCCTCTCTCTTTTTGCACCAAACAACCCCTCTCTCTCTCCTCTTCGTCCTCAACATTCTTCGGAGCTTCACCACCGTTGGCGGAGCGCGGTGAAGCCGATCTGAGTTCATAGCAGATCTTGAAGCTTCACATATTCTTGTTGCATCTGTCTAGCTCCTGAGATTCTGTCTATAGTCAATTGAGGCCCACCCAACATATTCGATATGCTATGTGCTATCATAAGCTTTGCTGCCATCATTTGTGCTTGTTGCTGCGTAGGAATGGCAACGGGGCGGGGCGGGGCCGGGGATCACCCTCCCCGTCCCCGATCCCCGATGGCAGAACTTTCCCCCGTCCCCGTCCCCATCCCCGACGGGGAACCAACTACCGCCCCCACTCCCGCCCCGTAACGGGGATCGGGTTTCCCCGACCCCGAAAATCCCCGGCCAAAAATACAACATCATCAAAAGAAAAAAAAAAAAATCAACATCTCAACAAGAGATCATCACCACCAACAGATCTGAAAAAAAAAAATCAAAACAACAGATCTTCATCACCACCATCAAGAACATCAAAAAAAAAAAAAAAAAAAAACAAAAAA